ATTTCTTTTTCAGTTCATCAATCTGAGAAATTCTGAGTGAATTCTTCCATTTTAACTCTCTGCCTCCAGCTGTGTGTACATTTCATGATGATATTTTGCTTTGTCTTCTCAACCTACCCTCGGAAATCTTCTCTCCTACTCTTTTTCTTCGGTATCTTTTTCCCCCAACTTTGTTTTGTTTTCTCAATGCTATAATACACTTTCCATAGTCTATTCTGCTATATGTTTTGTTTTTTCCTTTCTTCATAATGACCTTATACCTTTTGTGGATGATATCTTTGATGTCCTCCCATACTTCCTCTGGTCTTTGGTCACTGGAGTTCAATGCCTGTTGTATGTTCTTGAGTTGATTCTTAAGTTCAACTAGGATAGATTCAAGGTCGTATTTTGGTTCCTGCAGACTAGATTTTATTTTCTTCAGCTTCAATTTAAACTTGCACATGAGTAACTGATGGTCTGTTCCACAATCTGCACCAGGTCTGGTTTAGACTGCAGATACTGGGCTTCGCCCATGATGCCTTCCACAGATGTAGTCAATCTGAGTCATATGCAGTCTATCAAGTGAGGTCCATGTGTAAAATCACCTTTTTTTTAAAAAAAAAAAAGTTATTTTTAGTGAATATATTTTCATTGAACATGCAAAATTTGATCATTCTATTTCCAGCCACATTTCTGTCCCAAGTCCATATTTTCTGACTACCATACCTTCTTCATTATTTCCAACTTCTGCATTCCAGTCACCAGTTATAACTAACACATCTTGAATGCATGTTTGTTTAATTTTGGACTGTAAAATTTGGTAAAACTTTTCCATTTCCTCCTCTGCTTTAGCTGTAGGAGTGTATATTTGAATAATAGTCATATTAACTGGTCTTACTTGTATGTGTATGATAATATCTTTTCACTTACAACATTGTACTTGAAGATAAAACATAAAATTGTCTTTTAAACTATGACAGCAATATTATTCTTATGTTTTTTATTCCCAGCAGAGTAGACCATATGATAGTCCGATTCGGACTGGCCAAAGCTAGTCCATATCACCTCAGTAATGTCTAGAATGTCGACATTCATGTTCCATTTCCTTTTTCGTAACATCTCATTTCCCTAACTGTCACGTGTTGTACATTCCATTTTCCAGTTTTTAAAGGATGAATGTAGCTAATTTTCTTCATTTTGATTGACTTCCAATCTGGGCTCTATCTCTAATATTATAACAATCTGTGTTTCTCTACTGTTCAAAGGGTTTTACACTTGATCTTAGCCAAAAGGCCGAGAAGCGATTGTTCAAAGGGTTTTAGAGGCTCGCTATTTAAGAAGTGGACAGCCAGTCCTGTTTTCAGTCTGTCTTAATTTGGAAGGTCTACTAAAACCTGTCCACCATGGGTAACCTCTGTGGCATCTGACGCGCTGGTTACATAGCTTTCAGCTTCACAGCAACTCACAAGTTACCTCAATACAGCAAACTGATGAGCAAGTGCTCTATTTATTAGCATAATGAAATTCCCAAATAAAACAAACTGACTTTGTACTCTTTCCATCTTCTTGTTCAAACTGAGAATAGTGATTTTCTCCAGAATCTCTTTCCACAGATGGAGATAATTTGATTCTTGTGTAATCTATGAGGTCCATACATGTATTTACTGTTTATATCATTAAAGAAAAGTATATGGCATAAGTAAGTTGTTGGTCTTGGACAACTCTATAATGTACTCTCATGTGTTGTTTCTATCACCAAAGAAAACATTTTCAACTGTAGATCTTGTATCTTTGGTTCTCCTTTTCACATTCCAATCACCAGTAATTATAAGTGCATATTTGACTAATATCAGACTTGAGAAATTCTTCATCAAGACATTAATGCTTGATATATAAATTTGTGTAAGAGTTATACTGACTTATCTTCTTTGTAGGGGTGTGAACACTATCCTGCTACTGACAATACTGTAATTCAGGATATATTTTTTATATGCTGAGACATTACCATCTTCCATTTGTTACTTCTCGTATAGTAAACGATATGATGTTGCTGTTAAGTGCCATCGAGTTGTAGACGACTCATAGCAGTCCTATGAACAGTAGACTTGTACACTTGTATAACTTTCATCAACAGTCTGATTAAAAATGGGCAATACCTGTCAAGAGTATCAATCTTCACGTATTCCATGCCATTTTGACAACTTTTCATTTTCCCAGATTCATACTTCAAGCATTCAAAACTCTGATTATTAATGGATGTTTGCAGCTGTGTCTTCCATTTTTGAGTCATACTTTATCAGAAAATGAAATTCCTCCAGGCTTTACTCCATCCACATCAGGAAGGAAGGCAGACTGCCTTCAGGAGACACCTCTTCTGTTAGGTTTTGAGTCCCTTGCAGCCTCGAAGTCTCATCTTCTGGGAGTATTTTAGACAATGTTCCACCCAACTAGAATGGTGCTTTTAGGGAATGGAGGTGAAACATTATCTGAAGCATCGCTGTAGTTGGGGAATAATGATGGTTCTGGCCAACGCTCATCAGAAGGTTCAAGGGAAAAATTCGCATAGAATTTTAGCTTTATAAGCTAAGCTTATAAAAAAAAAAGGTTTTTGTTGCTACAACCAACTACAGGGATATTTTTATAAAAACCCAAAAATCAAAATGATAAATTGCTACTGAAATACTGCACAAAATTTCATAAAGAGTGACACTGGTGCCTCTCTTCTGGGCATGTCCTTAGGATAGTGTCCACCTCCACAGCCCTCTAGAGACGCCACTGGCCATGTTGTCAAAACTTATACCAAGACCACACTGTCTTCATTACTATTGTTTTAGAATAAGTATTAATATCTGGTGGAGCAATTTCTTCAGTTTTGTTTTTCTTTATCAAGAGCCCTACTCTTGGCCCTCTGCACTGTCATATAAATTTTAGAACCAGTTTGTCAAGTACCACAGAAAAAGGACTATTGAATTTTAATTGGGGTTTTACTGAATCTATAAATCAATCTGGTGAGAAATGACATCTTTACAATGTTGAGTCCTTCACCCCATGAAGTAGTATATTTCTCCATTTATTCAGGTCTTATTTAATGTCTTTGAATACATTTTTTAAATTTTCTCCAAAAAAAACCCCCAAACCTGACAATGTTCCTCTGCCCTCTTTAATGTTTCACTAGTCAGTTATTTTAGAAGGAACTTGCTAGGTCCTTCTTTTCAGTTTGTCTTAGCTTGGAAGCTCACCTGAAACCTGTTCACCACGTGTGATACTGTTGGTATTTGAAATACTGATGTGAAGCTTCTAATATGATAGCAACATGTAAACCCCAACAGACAGATACCTGGAACATATATATGTGTTTATATATGTTTATACATACATATAAATTTACTATTATATAATATGGTGACCTAGTGGCAAGAAGCTACACTGCCATCGCGAAGGTACACAGTTTGAGGCCACCAGCTGCTTCGTGGGAGAAGGATGGGCAATCTCCTCCCGTGCGATTAACTGTCTCTGACAACCCACTGGAGAGCCAGCTATGGGTCAGTTCTGACTCTGTGGTACACAACAACAACAACAACAACCACCATATTTAGAACTTATCTATTCGGGATTCAATCAGAAATGAAACAAAAAGTATATTAGCATTTAGTAGTGAAGCAGTAAATTAACTTAGAGTAAAACTTAATTAATGAACATTTATCTTTCATTTCATCAGGAGAATCTGGAGTGGGTTTTTATAGCACTTTGTGAAATATATATGCTTTTAGATTTCCTTCAGATTTTACTGAAGTATTATTTTAAGTCATTATTTTTTCATTAAAGTATACTTATCTAGTCAAACGCCATCCTAAAAAGCACTTTAAGAAGCCTCAATTACAGTTTAATGTAGCAGTGATTGATACTCTATAGTAGATTTCCTCTGGTGTTTTCTTTTCATTTGAGTTATAAACCTCTTAAAAATGCTGACATGCTCAACCTCCCAAGCAAGAAAAAAATAAAATGCATGAGAAAGTGTTCTTTTGTAGTTAGTTAACAATTGAAAAAGTTTGTACTAAGTGGTCAAGATAACTGTTCTATGTTCATTCTAAAGTGAATAATTACTGGCTTTGAGACATTGATGACTATTTCCTATTTAAAATTATGTTTTTCAATTATTGACAGGGGATTTTCAAATAATTAGGAAATTTGTTTAGTCTGAACTAATGTTTCCTAAATTTCACATGCTAAAATTGGTTCCTCTAGCAGTAAACTGCATTAATGGTAGAAAAATGTTATTATGCTCTTGTAAAAGCCCATTTCACAAAGGAGCACTTAATACACTAAAAAATATTGCGTAATAAAGAAGGTTACTATTGCATGTCAGCAGACTTTCATTTCTGTAACAAGACAAGAAAGAGCACAAGGGGTTTATAGAAATAAAAAGGAGAAAAGCTTTTAATATTAATGCAAATTCAAGAAGACTTTTAAGTTTTATGGCTGCTGCCTCATTCAGCATTTTTATAAAAACTTCTTGTGACTGAATTTTCTTATTTTAACCACAGATTTCTCTCTCTTGTCTTTTACTGGCATTGCCTATAAACAGAGATGGGAAGTTAATGGTTAGGCATTAACTTGGAAAAACTTCCTGTCAACAGAATTTTGCAGACAGACATCTATGAAGGCAATACAAAGAGATATTTATATTCCAAAAAAGAGTCATCTTCTCTAGCAGGTTAGTATTTAGGTTAAGATCTATATTGTATTTGCACATGTTGGTTTGACTCTTTAAAGAAGGAGAAACTAGGAATAAAAATTTCAAAAATAAACCAAAACACAAAACTGATTTCTTCAAGTGTAGTATTGGGGCATTCCACACATTATATCCTATCACTGTGTATCCATCCCAGCATGTTTTTGATAGAGTGCCCAAAATCCTGGATACATAAATGGTCATAAACATTTAAACTTGAACATGTGAGAAACAGACATGTGGGTCGAACCAAATCTCAAGGTCACATGGAACGGAGCTCTTTACTCACCACTGTGACATTGAAAGCGTACAGGAGGTCAAAAGGCAGAGCAGCGATTAAATCAATGATGAACCATGTCGTGACATAGTGGATGCATATTGATCTTGCTTCAAAGATAACTTGACCAGACTTGCTGACATAGGTTGTTCGAAAATTTAAAATAATATCTGCTTGAGGAAAAAAAATACAGAAAATAGAGGAAAAGAGAAAGAAGGGAAGAAAGAAATTAAAACAGCAAGGAAAGTTAAGAAAGAAAAAAAAAGAATGGGTGGAAGGAGAGACAGAGGAGACAAAATGGTATAAAGTTAGATAAATAATAATGATTTCAGAGTAAGAACATTCATACATCTGTCTTCACAATTTTAATACAACTGAAGAAATACAGAGGAAACAAAGTACTGTTTTTTAAGCATCTTATATTTCCAAGCCCTGAGGTCAGGTGTTAACTAAATCAAATAATAACAACATTCAGCACCTACCAATCACTCACTATACACCAGATACTGTTCTAAGAATTTAGTTTATATTACTTTACTTAATCTTTAAAACATTTTGAGTTTACAATCTCTGTTTTAATAAGTCAAACTGAGTCTTAGTGAGAAAATGCAACTCATTCAAGGTCATACTGCTAAGAGTAACAGACTTTGAAATTCACATAGGTATAATTTTTCACTTAAATTCTTTCTTCTCTGTGATACAAGTTAATTCTGTTTATGAAGACAGAGAAGTTACTTTGAGGGCTAAGGTGCTTATCATCTAAACGATAGTATTTTTAATCACCTTACATGCAAGCAAAACTGAACAAGAAAATGGGAGATTAAGAAAGAAAAATGCATTTGAATTTTGGAATTCACATAGAATATGGAATGTGCAATGGAATGTCAGAAGAACGAGCAAATTTGTCTTGGAGGAAATACAGCATGAACTCTCCTTTGCATGACAAGATGCCATTGCATTTTACTTCGGACCAGTTACCTGAAGGGTCTAACCCCTGGAGAAGGATCTCATGCTTGTGAGGAAAGCAAGAGCAAGAAAGAAAGAAACAAACAAAAAATGGTAGGCAGAGACCTTATCAAAATGAGTGATACAGGAATCAAAGGCAAGGGCTCAAATAGCAAAAACTGTGAGGAAGGAACAGGGCAGTCAGTGGTTCCTTCTGTTGTTGGTAGACTCCACCCATATATATAACTATATACGGACTGTCCTACTAGGTATTTTGTTCTGATCATAATCTTGTGAGGTAAGATTACACAAGAATCAAGCCAAAGAGATCCCTTTTATTACGTTGTACTAGAAACTGTCAACAGGCTCCCACTCATCAACCTTACGCACAACAGGACAAAGTCCTTTCTGATCCATATTATGTATGATACCACTGCTGTTTTAGTCCTCTATAATCATACTCTTAACAGCTGTATAAAACACTCCTAACAGGCAGGGAATATAGAAGCAGAAGTTGAGGCCCAAGAGAGATCAAGTGAATTGTGCAAGGTCAACAAAGATTATGAAACTGATGCACACATAAAATGAAAGTTATCAGCTACTCAGTGAAAGAGCAAATCTCACATCATAAATTCCTTAAATCTCCTAAATTCCAGTTCAGGGCATTGGGTGTTGGGGATTTAACTGGTATCAGCCACATGACTGTTCTGAATTAACCAAATCTTCTTGATTACCCAAAACTTGGTCCTGCGTCTTTGTGAGCGACATAACTTTTAAAAGGGTACCATTAAAAGCCAGAAGAATGAATGTCTCCCATGCTTTAGGCACGTTATCTGGAAGGGATAGTCCTTGGAGAAGGACATCATGCTTGGAAAAATAAAGAGAGAGGAAGACCTTCAATAAGAGAGATTGGCAGAGTAGAGCAATAATGGGTACAACGAAGGTTGTGCGAACAGGGTGGGCTAGGACTTTGTCCGGTCATATGTAGGATCACTTTGGATGGAGTGACTTGAAGACACTTTGACAAGAAGTCAGAAGAACAAGCAACTACATCTTGGGAAAGTACAGCTGGAACACTCATACTTCAGACATGTTATCAGAAGGGATAAGTCCAAGGAGAAGAGCCTCGTATTGGCAGAGGATGGATGAAAAAGACAAGTCGGACCCTCATGGACATAGACATAGTGGCCAAAGTGCTGGGCTCAGACAAGGTTACGGCTGTGAGGAAGGGAGCGAACCGGGCGGTGGTTTTGTTAGTTGCACATAAGGTCACTATGAATTGGAACCAACTTGGCAGAACTAAATAACAATAGTGTTACTAGGAATCAGAATGAATTAAAGAACCAAAACAGAAGTGTAGACTTCGGCACAGAATATCTTTTTGTTTGTTTGGTTTTTAGGTGAATCATTTCCAAATATCATGTGTTGTTGTTGTTAAATGTTGTTGAGTCATTGGTGACTCACAACGACCCTATGAATGAAAGTCCTCAACACTTGCGTGATTTTCATCCTTTCTCCAGGACCATAGGGTTTCCAGAGGCAAGCTATTTAAAGAAGTGGATGCCACTCCTGCTTCCAATATCATATGTAGGAAGCTTTTTTTTTAAAAAAAAAAGAAAAAAAAAGCCTTAATCGTTGTTGTTGTTGTTGTTAACTGCCGTTGAGTCGCAGGAAACTCACAGAGACCCTATGAATGAGAGTCCTCGATGCTTGGGTGCCTTTCATCCTCTCTCCAGGTTCATAGGGTTTCTGGAGACAAGCTATTATGGAAGTGGATGCCACTCCTCCTTCCAAGCCTTAATCATTACATAAATGAAAAGAAGATATTCTAACAAAATTACTTTTATACACAAATAGTAAAAGAAAAAGAAAAAAAGGACAAAAGTTGGTTTCCTTTTAGTATATGAATACAAATAAAGTTGAGATACCAGAATATTCTTAGGGGAGAAAACTTTTAAGTTGCATGTCATATTTCTAAGATAGACAGTGAAGAGATTGTCAACAGCTTCAGCTTGCTTGGCTCCATAATCAATATTCATGTAACAGCCTAGAAATCAAAAGACTAATTGCATTGGGAAAATCTGCTGTCAGGTACCTCTCCAAGAATACTGAAGAGCAAAGATGTCAGTCAGAGACTAAGGAGTGCCTGATCCAGACCATGGACTTCACAATTACTTACTATGCACCAGAGCTGGACAGTGACTAAGGATGATAGAAGAATTGATGCCTTTGAGCTGTGGTGCTGGAGAAGAGTGTTGAATATGTCATGGACTGCTAAGAGAACAAACAAGCTTTTTCTGGAGAGGGTGAAATCTGGATGCTCCCTGGAGGCAAGGATTCTGAAGCTCCGTCTGACATACTTTGGGCATGTTGCAAGGAGGGACCAGTCCTTGGTGAGGGACATCATGCTTAGAAAGGTGGAGGGACAGCATAAAAGAAGATCCTAGATGAATAGATTGACTCAGTGACAGAGGTAATGGGGGGGGAGGTAGGTGTGTCAGAGACAATGAAGTTGGTTCAAGACAGAGCAGAGTTCAGAGCTGTTGGACATAGTAGAGTCGCAATGAGATGGAGTCGACTTGACAGCACATAAAAACAACAAGAATAAAGATACTCAGTGTCACAGTTTTCGTTACGAAGAGTGGAGCTTTGTCTAATAATTACTCTCATTTTAGTAAATTATTTTCAAAAGCTACTATTTCATCATGCAAAACAATAAGTATATTCCTGGCATACCAGGGCTTATGCCATCTTTCCCCCACATTTCATTAGTTTGTGTGGTTCTGCTATCCATTTTCTCAGGCATATTATCACCCACATTTGACCAATGACTCTCAGCTAAAGAACTTGTGTAAGGTAGTACTGATAATCCTAAACAGAGACAGGGAATCTTTTTACACCCAATCCCATTGTGATCCCACTGTCTTAAAGACCTCTCGCTCTTTCAAATACATTTTGGAGGGATAATACTAGGTCAGTATATCTAAAATGCAATCTGATGTTAGCTCTTAAATTCTGCATCATCACCTCCCACATTAAGAAAAGGACAGAATTAATTGTGAGGAAATGAACTTTCTTGGAATCTTGCAAGTATGAGAGGAGAATTTTTGTTCAGGGGCAAGTGAGAAATCATTTGGCTTTCTCTCCAATGTTAAGGATATAATGATGTGTCCAAGAACTAGGACACCTTGATTGTAAATGTTCCTTCAAAAAAGAAAGACAGAGATGGGTAGTAGGATTTTTTTTAAGGGTGGAGGAAAAGCAGAGAAACAAAAAAGAGTGTGAATAAGAGAAAAAGCTTTCCAGATTTGGCAACCCTCATAAAAGAATCATGGAGCAAAGAAAAGCTTTGCAAGCGCTGGATGCATCTGTTCCTCCCCCGTGGCTGTATCACTTTCCAAAATATCTTTGTGTCTTTGTCTAATTAAACCAGCGACTTATTCTCCTGTAGACTCTTCTAGACAATGTATAACTCACCTGAAAGACATTGGTTACGGGTTTTATTTAGAGACAGCTCTAAACCATGGTATAATTTCTTTTAACATAGAATGTATCAGTGGATATTCATCAATATTTAAGTTTCTGACCAGTAATTTTCTAGTTAATGTTGTGAATTAGAAGACACACACACACACACACACACACACACACACACACACACACCATGTACACACATATACACAGTTTGAATTAGGAAAAAAATATTGCAAACAGTATAGGCGTGGCATCCACTTCCTAAACAACATGCCTCCGGAAACTCTATGAACTTTGATAAATGTCAGTAGTTTTAGAGGGGCTTCAGACTTTTTGTTCACAGGGTCGCTATGAGTCGTGCTTGACTCAAAGGCAATCAACAACAACAACAACAAATTAATTCTTAAGCATTTATCACCTAGGAACCTTATATATCCATGCATTTGTAAATACATCAATAATTATCATATTATCATATGCCGTCTATGTGGTTTACAGAATTTTCCTCAAAAATGAACATATAATAATAATAATGTTATGGTTACTTGCCATACATTTTTTTCCAACTTACGCTCGCTGATACAATAACAACGTAGCCACTACATGTAGAACAGAAATTTCCTTTGCCACAGCTGACAGTTTTTCTGGGTTTGAAGCTGTTGTTGTAATTACGGACTCAATCATAGAGAGTATTCTTGACACTCTGCTGACCCTCTGCTTAATACAAGATGATACTCTCTAGTGACCTAGT